GATCCCTTGATGGTGATCTCTCTCGTTGATTAGTTTTCATAGCTTTCTAATCTCTCTCATAACTTTCATTCTCTCAAACACAAAACACTCGAAAGATCTTTACACTAGCTTTTAGCGTAGTGCAAAAGCGGCTATGTCCTCGGCTGCGGTGAGTACCTCTGCGGCTACTGAATCTGCGGCTACTGAATGCGGTAAGTACACCTCTGTGACCTCTGCGAAGTACCTCTGCGGCTACTGAATACGGAAGGGATGACCTCGGTTTTATTGTCTTGCTTCACTATCTCGCTCAAATTCGAAATTCGAAATCCTCTGGATGCATGCTCCGTCGGTCTTTCGAAAACAACACGAAAACAACACGATGAGAGACTGATCGAGCTGACACAGAGATAAATAAATAAATAAATAAATAAATAAATAATGCACGACTGACGTCAGTCGGCTGTGACGTCAGTCGGCTATCGAACGTTTGATTGGCTAGTGGCTCTACAGCGATTCTACAGAGGTAGTGTATGGATTGGGCCGATGTCGGCACGGCGGTCCCGCTGTACTTTCTGTACCAATCGTTTGAGGTTCTGATATGCGAACTACCGTGCTCCGAAATTTTTTTAAGCTAGAAGTTAAAAGGATGGGCCCCCGAAGGGGGCTTAGAAGTTTAAAGATTGGGCTCTTGGGGCCCAACCACCAAGCTAGCTAATGGGAGTGGAACACATGGCCTTCTGGCTGGCCCTCAAAGCACTGCAGCAGAACCTCTTTCATCTCTGGCTTTGTCTTTTTGATGGACTTTCCCAGGACCCTGGCCCAATTCTTCATGTCTGCGAAGCTTGTGGAGGAGTCCAACAGCTTGGCTTTGGTCAGACCGCCTTGCTTCGGAGCAGCCTTTCTCTTTCCAGTGGCATGTTGATTGATGGCGGCCATCTGAACCAGCAATTTGTAATTTGTGCCTGGCCTGCAGCAGGAGCTTCCTTCCTTGCAAGGGCTCTCATAACAGGAGATGAGACTCCGTGGACTGCTCCCTGTGGGAAATATTGCTGCAGATGCCGATCCAATTTTCCGGCAACTAGAGGAGTCCTGGTTTTCGCAGAGGCACGCCCTTTCTTGCCGACAGCTGACAAGAACACGATGCCATTGTCGTCTACCTTGGGGAAGAGTCCACTGGAGTAAAAAGTGGTCTGACCTTCTGTGAATCGAAATACCGTGTTGACCGAAGCAAGCCAGCAGAGAAGGCAACCTAAATTGACATCCCTTCTAGCTACGACATATTATCAAAGCCAAGCAGATATTCTTATCAGCTTTAAGGTTTCTGAAGCCCTTGCATTTCTTGTGTGTACTTTTGCAATCCTTTTGAACTTGACCAATGTCCTGGACTGCTGGAGCACATTCTGCTTGAATGCATTCAATCGACGGTTGATTTTTGCAGAGCATCCCCCAAGCAGAGATGGTAAGCGATCCAGTGCCTGGACCAGTGGGCCAGCGAGCGAGTTTTCATCAGGGCCTTCCGGAAGACAGATATTTTGAGGCATATTTTCCCCATTCAGGACAAGGCGAGATTGGAACGAGCAAGTTGCTACAGTATGTCACAAGAACATCAAGCCGTCCGAGCTTCACACATCGTATGGCCCGTGGTTTCATGTTTTCAGTTTCTGTTCCTCTTCTTGTCTTTGCTGGGATTCTTTTCAACAAAACACCAGATACCCTTCAGCGATGGTTTAATCATTTATTCTATTCCCGCCATTGCCCTGTCTTTGGTTATGAAGGGGAGGATTGGCACAAACATCTACCACTGGCTCTTGGCCGGAACGGCGCTTGAGGTCACATTCAAGCACTCCTTTTTTGATGAACTTTTTCTGTCCATCGTAGCTCTCCTTGCTGGGGTGGGGCTTCTAGCTGGGGCTTACAGTTTGTGGAATTCAGAACCAGTTGATGTGGCTTCTCCTGAAGGGGTTTCGAACAACAAGCAACTTCAAGATTCTGACATCAATGAGCTGAAGGATGACATCAAGAAAGCAGTTGCAGCCGCGTTCAAAATGAAGCCTCATTTCTTGTGTGTGCTTTCGCAATCCTTTTGAAACTTATCGATGGCCTGGACTGCACCAATCCCTAACGCCGCATCGATGTCCTCGTTGGCACCCACTCGTCCTTCAACAGAGCTTGGCAAATCATGGCGATGTTGCGGCAATCATCAATGCCGGAATGATGATGCCCTTCCAACTCCAGGCCCAACCTCTTCAACATTTCTGCCATGCCGCCTGGTTTCTTTGACGCGTATACGTTTTGGAAAGCTATCTTGACGTTGATCCAATTGCTAAATGTTGAAGGGACGGGAACACCCAGGTGCGAAAGCTGCGTCGCCAGGCCGGTACGGAGATCCCAATCGCCGCAGCTATCCAAAGCCAGAGACAGGTGAGGCACGAGTCAAAACAAAGAGCAGCGATATTCATTCAGCGAAGACACCGAGCGCAATCTTCTAGCAGTGTTCTGCCCCCCGTATCTTCTCAAGGGTCAAGGCAAACTCCGGACCAGTAAGCACATGCTTGTATCATACGCGTACAACTAACCTGGTGTAGAGAAACGTCCTTTGTCCCTCACCGGTGCAGCTTGTGGGTGATCCCTGCTCGTCGTACAATGGAACCAGACGATTGTCCGACAACCACTGCAGGTGCATTTGCATCACGTCGATAAGAGGCTTACCCGCATCGACTTGAGACTGCGTTATCCCGGTCAGCTCGGTGCAGAAATCCGACAGAACCGGTTTGATTGTGGGTTTCACGTAGTGGTGAAAAACCTTCTCCACTTTCCCAGTGGCAACAGACAGCGCAAGAGTTGGCCATTCAATGATTTCTTGTGGCTTGGGGTTCCCGCCTTTGTCACATGTTGCTTCAAAATCCAAAATCAACAAAACATCAGGAGAGGGGAGATGATCGGTGGGCAATGTTCGATTCTTGATGGGAACGCTAGTCGGGACGTATCTCACCAGTAGATTGTTAGGCGAGAAGAGATTGGTTTCATTCGCTTGCGGATCCACCGGAAACTGGCCTTTCAGCTCTAGGAAGACTCGGGTAAGACACTTCCCAAGCCAGTTGGTGCCGTTTCCACTCCCTCCGTCGCCCCAGGCAGCATCGTTTGTTGTGTGCTCGACAAAAAGGGGGGCGACTTTCAAGGCTTCAACAGCTCGGCGAGCAGCGGTACCGAGGGCCTGGCCTCCAAATTTCGCTCGTAGAATGTGCAGCATGACTGAATGCTTGATTTGGCGCCAATCCCTACGTGCGGGGAGCTGTCCCTTTTTCCCTCGCATCCACCCGCTTCCTCGTGGTTGAAAGTCGTCTGCGTTTATCCCACGGGCCACCAACCATTCTTTTTGGCTGCTGGTGAGCAAGAGTCTGGATTGACCAAATCTAGCAGCATCCAGTGAATTGAGCTGAGTCAAGATAAACTCTGCATCAGCTTCCTCTTGACATTTGACGGCTTGATAAAAGTGTTCTGAGGAAGCCGCAGGAGTCTCACAGATGAGCGGATGAATATGTGTGCCTGTCAGCTGTCCCATTTGGATTGGCCGGTCGTCTTCAAACAAATTCGAAAGCACTCGCCGATCCAAATCACCAAAGATATGCTCATCCTCATATTCTTCGATGGGGTATCGTCGCGTGTGGCTGTAAAATGACAAAACATGAGAATACTGCTTCGCACATTCGCCCCATCCCAAATTCACGGGGCTTTCTTTTGGCTCTAGAATATGCTGAAGTGGGGCTTTGTTATGTTTATCATTCTTTGCAGCGTCGTTGGCCTTTTTCTTGGGCGGGATAAGCACGTTGCGCTGTTCCACGGTGAGGCCGGCTAGGAACTGCTTCACTGTTGCCTTGTGATCTTTTCGCTGTTGCATGTCAGCCTCGTCTTTCGGCGGTCCCTTGAAGGAACCTGAGACCCCTTGTAGCCGTTTCCATTCCTTTACTAATTCCTCAGGGAGGTGCGCTATTGTTTCCTCCTCCATGATTGTTCGCTTTGTTTTTCTCGGTGTTTGGTGTGTGATCTTCTGGTGTGGGAATTTGGGAAGGTGGTTGTGGCTGGTGGTTGAAACGTGCATCCAGTACCCGGTATCCAAACTTGGATCTTGGGCAAGTGTGCACTTTTAGTAACTGTTGTGTACGCGAACCGTCACTGTTGCACACCCAACTCGGTCACCCCATCTCTTTGAAGAGAGAATCACCATACCCTCCCTTGTGGGGCTTCTGCTGCTGCCTCTAGTGGAAGCACTAGCTAGAGCACATACCGTACCGTACGGATCCATTCGGAGCGATGTGCAGATCAATGAGGTCACACGTGACCCAAGAACAAGGATGCGGGGATGGAAACAACATACTAGATAGATCCTACCCCCTTCAAACTTCTTTACCAACCCCAACTCTCTTCAACAAAGAGCTCGTGATTTGTGGTGAATCATGGCTCCGACCTCAGTGTACAAATCCTTAGATAGCTAACAGGCGTCGCACCCTCTCAGGAGGCCAGTGTGGCCGGTGAGCAGACTTGACTGTGGGAAATACCCGGGCCTTACACAGTGTAGCTCGTGGGTCGTCCTCAAGCACATCTCGTCTGAATCCGTTATTAGACGTTCAGTTTTTTTTAAAACATACTAGATAGATCTAGTAGTCTAGTCTATTCGAGCCACATGCAGTTTCCCCAGGCTGCAGATCGGGTTCTCATCCGACTGCGGGGAAATTGAGTGTTAGAGCCAAATTGCTTGCTGTCTTCAGACCTGAAATGCTGTAGGGCTCTGGGTGATTTGTGCGTTCGAGACATGAATGCTAGGGTGATAAACGTCAGTTTTGTTGGTGCCGGTACCGGTACCGTCCCTCAGAACATTACTGCATAGGCGGTTCTAGTAGCCATATAAACGGCACTGCGAAGCGAGAGCAGATGCGACAATACCCGGTATACGATACGGTGCATACACATGAGATTGTACCTTGGTCGTTGCATCGTACCAGTAGAGTTTGGAAACCATGGAGTTGATATGGCACTGTCCTGGCTGGTCACACAAGCTGTTATGATGGATTGGATTCGGGAAGCAGACCTGTGAGCTGTGGCACCTCGAACTAACTGTCTTCCCTTCACAAGAGAGCCATGGCTGCCGGCCTCGGATTGGCCTTGTGGTTGTGTTTTGACTTACCGTACTCACAGGACCGGACTGGAAAGAGATTTGGTGTGACTGAAAAACTGAGACACCTCCTGTGTTTACTCACCATTGCTTGTGTGCATTGGTGGGCGAACTGAATACCACTGATTGAGTCAGTTTGCATCCTTCAATCCATTCAAAGGAGCATGGTAAGACCAGACATTAAAGTTGAAGGGGAGATCGAGTCAGTGAGTGACAGTGCAATTTGCTGAGGGGCAGCCTACCAGCCAGAAGTCCGGTTACGGAACCAGAGTACTCTCACTTTTAAGATAAGCATTATTTTTAAGTCTTCTTCAAGTTCTCCTTTAAATCTTTGACTTGATTGCCACCACTTTTTGGAAACTTGCCTTTTCCCGTGTTGTTTCTTGGTGTCAACATGGAAGCATCCAAGCAGCGTGTTCTGACAAACGACACATCGACGAATTCCACCATTGAAACAATCACAGAAGCGATAAAGCATCACTGACAGGAAGCAGAACCAGCCGAAACGAGGGTGCTACCTGGTACCTGGTAATTAAGCAGAGCAACAGAAGAAATCAAGTGATATCTTGACTCTCCTTTCCTGCCAGAATTTTGAACTGCGCTGAACTTGAGCAGTTTTTATCGAATCAGCAGGTCCATTCTTGAGAAGAGACGTAGAAGAACAATGACATTGATTCGCACCGTTTGGATTGCTGTTGTTGGCTACCTGTCGTTTGGTCCAATAGTAGCCCCTTTCCCTTGGCTTGGTTTCTTGGGTGGCTTTGTCAAGCTCATTGGCTTTATGAATGGGGGCACCCTTCTTGTCCTCCATTCCCTTATGTTGCTGGCATATGCAAGTCTTTTCTGGTTAGGATTGGTCTCTCGGGAAAGTCTCAAGACACCAGCAACAATCTCGACATTGGCGACGATAGGAATATTTATTCCGACCGTGTTGTGCTTGTTGACCTGTTCCCCCGAGTGGGTCAACCCAGGACAGGCAACAAACCAAGGAATCCTTTCCGTGATTCAGCGTGTGTCCCAGCCCAAAGGTATCTCGTGGGCCAAATGGATTACGCCTCCCCAGACTTGTCCTTCTTTGGATGGATTGGAAAACATTACAACCATCTACCGAAGATCTGTCCCTCCGTATGGGCCAAGCTCCACGGGGGGTACTTTTCTCAATCCCGTTTCCAAGATTGTCTTTGATGCTCTTAACGAGGGTGATGGCAGCAAGACCAACCTGAGAACAATGTTCTACCCAGTAACAAGTCATCAACGGGGAGCAAAAAAAGCTGGAATGTTGGTATTCGTTCATGGTGGCGGATGGTTTGGTGGAGAACCTGACAACGTTCCAAGTGGCTGTTATGCGAGTATGGCCCATGAACATGGGTGGGCGTATGCCGCGGTCGAATACCGCCTAGGACGGAGCGGGTGGTCCGGAGATGTCCAAGTTAAAGATGTCAAGGATGGAATAAAGCATCTCATCAAAACGCACAGCAAGGAAGTTGATGCTTCCAAAGTGGTGTTGGTTTCTTCCTCTGCTGGAGGGCATCTGGCGCTATTGGCATCGTTTCAGCTAAACAACGAAAGGGCCAACTTGGACAACCCTGTAGTGGCTGGAGTACTGGCGGTGGCGCCATCCACTTCGGTGGATATTGGAACGGGTAAGGACTCCATTCCTGGCTGGGCGGGATCTTGGTCTGAGGTAGGAGCTACCATGAGATTATGTGAAGGGGTGGAAGAATGCAACAAACGGCTGAGCCCCTTGGAACACGTGACGTCTTTTGCCCCCAAGACAATCCTGTTGCACGGGGGCCATGACGAATACTACACAAAAATACATTCAAGAACTCTAGCAAAGAAGCTTTCGGAGCACAACGTATCACACGTGCATATGGAGCCGCCATTGATGCCGCACTGCTTGGACGTTGCACACAATACCATTCCATTCCAGATGGCAATGCACGCAACAATTAACTTGATGAAGTCTCTGTAGCAGAGTAAGCACATGATTGATTGAGGCAAACTTGGCAAAAGGAACCTTCTACCGACGGCAGCGCATTCAGTCTAGAATATACGAACTGTTAAGGCCGGTGCCGGTTATACGTTCGGCAGCTTGTGTCCATTATATTATAGTCAGTTTACCTTTTGAAGCTTGGCTGCCACAGTATCTGCCTCCTCCTTACCCAGCGAAGCGGAGCCAGCTGCGGTGGGGTCTGTAGCGCCGTTGCTTGCCGCTTCTTGTTGCTCTGTGGCGCGCCTGCGTTTTCGTTCCACGTATTTTATGAGCTTTTGCTGTTCTCGCAGCTCCGCCTCATTGAACTTGCGGTAGGAATCGGCAAACATGGTAGCCTGATGCTTGTGAAGAAAGCGAATTAGGTCGTTGATCTTGGCCAGGACTTGTTTCGTTTCCTTTTCAAAGGCATCCAATGCCTCCCGGCTACCTTCCCTATCATCCTTTTGAAGCTGCGACTGTTGTTCTGCCAGGACATCAGGGACTTTCAGGAAGAACCTCAAGAGATGCTCGCAGCCGTAGACTTCGGAAGGGAGCATGGGGCGAGTTTTCGGCACGGGCTTTCCTACGTCGCTGGGAACGGTGGATTTCGTAGATTGTTCCACTGATTCCTTCTCCGTGCTATTAGCGGCGCTTGCAGGGGCCTGAGACGGAGTGCTCTCGTTGCTGTCTACCGGAGCTTCCTTCTTGATACTATCAGCCGCCGTCACATGCATATTGTTGACGGCACTAGACATCTTTGTTGGGGTTGTGTCACCAGCGGGGCTGGAAGCACAAGCCATCGCATCGTCCTTTCCAACCATTTCCCCCTTGGGTATGTTGTCGTAGCTCTTTTTTGGTGTAGTAACTGCAGCGTCTGGAATGGGCACCTCGAACGTAGACTCGACAACTTTGTATTGAGCCAACTCTTGGCTATACAGCAGACGAAACGAAAGTGCTTCGTCAAAGAACATTGCAATCCCCTCGACCATATCCTTCCACTCTTGCGATCTCTTTCGTTTCAACTCTTCTTCGTCCACAGGGTGTAATTCTTCCAAAGCCGTTTGGGTAGTCGATCTTTGTTTTGAGAGGGGAGATTTGGCTGGGGATGGTTTCCTGGGAGAACTGTTGGCAATCAAGTCCAGTTTGGATTGGAGGTATTTGTCCAAAGCTTGTCGAACGGTAATCTTCGCGGGCACATTCGCGACCATTTGGCATTGGGTAATGATTTCCCAAGCTTCTACCATGACCTTTTTCAGCGAAAACGGCAACGTTATCTTGTACTGATCGGTGGAACATTTCTTTCCCTCCAAGCCTCTCAATCGCAGTTTGAATTCTTTGTCAATTGCTGCCTGGTCCCATGCAATCTTGGCAGGCTTGGATTTGCGTTTTGGCTTGGATTTTGATGTTGGCACTGAAGCGATCTTGGAAGACTTGTCAATTGTTTCGTTTGTTTTTCTCTCTGCTGATGTCGCCACCGTGGCATCCTCTTTGGCGGCCTTCATTCCAGTGCTCACCACCCGTTTTCCTTGACTATTAAACCCATCCCCTTGGTCCATTTTCAGATTTGGTTTTTGGTTGTCGTTTTCCTTGTCTTTTTGCATTTCTTCTACAATTTGATCCATTCGTTCCCTCCATGCCTTTAGAAAGGCGGCTCCATCGCTACTGCGACTTGCCTTACCCTTTTTGTTGCCTCTGAAAGTCTTTTGTAGTTCCTTGTGCTCTCTCGCAAATCGGCCGGCAATTCGTTTGGATTCTTCATTGTCTTCCATGACGTCTTCTTCCGAAACCCATCGATCCCACTTAACATTCCATCCATTGTAATGGACAAAGAAGTGCCAAATAGGTTCGTCCGTGGACTGCAATAGCTCTTCAATTTCGCTTTCGTTACTGACCAATCCAATCTGTACCTTTTGATCCCTCTTGATACCAAAGAGGGATCGTCGAATGACAGCTTCGTACCAGAGCCCACAGGAAGCATCCTTGGCATACACGCGTTGTTTGGGCTGGAATTTGGGGCCATTGGAAGAAGAAGATTCGGCAGTGTCTTGGGCCGAAGGGACGGGGGAAGAACTCATCTTGGCGGATGATGGTGGATCCATGGTTCCTTTATCGCGAGCAACTTCCACGGGCGGGTCCATCTCTTGCTCTTCCTTTTCAGTTTATTCACTCGACCTTCACTGGCTGCAGAGCTAGTAGACCAATCCAAATACTAGTAGCTATCGAGATACCCTTGTAAATTAGGCAGATGGTGAGCTCCTTGGTACGGCAAGAACGTACCGTAAGCGCATGCGCTCGAGCCGTCATTGTGGCGCCTAAAACACCATGCACAAGACAAAGTGGAGCTCCGCGGTAAGGTTCAGGCTAATTGGCTTGAATGCAAAATCCAGCCCACCCTCTTCACCGTTCCTTGTCCTCTGAGTTTAGCATCGGTTTCGATCAGGCATCAGGCAACTCTATCTTTTAACAGTCCCTTCCAAGTCACCCACAGCTTGCCCAACATGGGACCACAATCCCAGGCAGAGGATGATCGGAACCTGGTCACAGCACTGCTACGATTTTAAGATGATCTTGCATCTGCAGGCTTAGTGGCCAGAGGAGGCCCCCATCCAGTGTTGCTGCCGCTATGGAGTACCGACCAGTACCTCGCAGCCTGGTCACATTCCCACAAAGTAACGGCGACAAATCCTGATACTGCAATTCATACTTTGTTGCCAAGCCCTGGATTGTCGTACCGATGGTTTCATCCTCGTTCCAATCCTTGCGACAGCTGGAGACCGCGACCACATTGCTTGCATAGTTACTGCTAGAGCGAATGACACACACTAAAGTTTGCTTTGCATTAAAACATTCAATGTTACAATCTTTTAGTTATGTAATCTTATATGAAAATCATGATGAACAATTCATTTGTACGATGTGTTGCTTTCTGTGTTCGTCCCTTTATTGGTAGGCAGAAAGTGCTTCTCTGAAGATGGCCCATTCCTCGTCCTTTCCAGTCAAACTGTCTCGGATAGCTGATCGTCTTCTGCTGCTGACAGAGCCGGTACTTTGGGCAGATTCATCGCAGCTAAAGCTTCCGCTGCGCTCCCGTCTGTTACCCAAGACAGACCCACGCCTTCTTCCCATGGACAAGGATTCACGGCGGAGCTTGGAGCGGTCAATGTGCGTTGCAGATCTTCGTACACTGGAATCGTCCGACATGAGTCGTTCCATGTTGCGACTTGCCACAGTGGAGGATTGGTCGTCTCCTTCCTCACCGGTGGCCCTTGGGTGTCGTGCAGGGCCGCTGAGAGAACGACGACCAGCCCTCAATCTTGGTGTGGTTTGGTCGGTCTCGCCGACAGCGTCAACCCGTCGGTTGTGGTAGCTGCCATAACTCCTTTGGATTCCTTGTCTGTTACTCATGGTTGGTCGTTTGTTTTGGTTGAATCAAGGTGGTTGATCAATGTTTGGTTTTGTCAGGAGATGAAATTGTGAGCAAAAGCGAAGACCGAGAGCTAGCTAGCTGGACAGAGCCACCCTTTAGTCATCCCGTCCCATCGAAAGTTTTACAGTAGTCTTTTGCTCTGTTTCCCTGTGATCTTGACTGGGTTTCAAGTTTCAAGAGTTGTCTTGGCTTTGCCTGAAGACCAAGAATAGGCAATCGATCCAAAGTGGAGGCAGTAGTTAACTTTTTGGAACGAACGCTGCGGGACCACGTCAGGTCCAGAGAGGCTGAAGAAAGAACGCAAGGATATAAGAGAGTCTACTAGCCGAACAGCTGCCGAACAGGAATGAAGTCATGAGCGAACAAGAAAGAAGTCATTGGCTTGAGAGTACCAAGAAGCCAAGAAGATTGACATAATAATATTTTCCACATGCAAAATGTCAAAGTCATTTTTGCATTTCTGTCACATAAGAGGAGTTGCACTTGTTGACATTTTTGTTGCACCTCTTGCCTTCTGGAAAAGGCTCAAGGTCTTGCTACGTACCGGTAGCAACACGTAGCATGGCCAAGGCCGAAAGCTTTGAAACTAATAATTTTGCGCCTAGTAGCGTTGCCCCGTTGACGAGCCTATGAGACCCAGATTGCTTTGGCTGCGGCCATTTCAGGCGTTCCAATCGAATGCCGCTCGAATCAGGGCAGTTTGGACCCTTGGTCTTGCTGTGCTTGCTGGTGGATCAACGACATAACTGAGATGCAACAGCCAACCTTTACTCGAGTACTAGTTGTTGACATTTCGTTGATAATGGTTATAAGGAATTGCTCAGGCATGTTCATGAGACATTCGGAGGTCGCAGGGGTGCAGTAGTGCAGTATCCCAAGCAATCTCTTTCTGGTTTTCCAGCGAAAATCATTCCTCCTCTTGAAGCATCCAGCCAAAGCAGAAGGTGCAAGCAGATGATGTTTGTTTTCTCGTTTTCTCTTGGTGATTGACAGATTGTGGTTTCATGCTCAGCCGCGTGTCCTTGCCGATTGTGTTACACCGCTTCTTAAAGCAACGACCCCATGTCAACCTGGAGAATACAATATTTATGAATCTTGTTTTGGCGTTCTTTGACCGGTCATTTGTCTATTTCCTTCAACTTGGACCCTACCGGTATCCCTCACAATTTCCAACCCATTCTGCTAGAAACCATCCTTGCCTTTCTCTGCTTCCAATTTTCCACAGAAACCATCACTGCCTTCCCTAGCAGAGAAGATTGCTTCCCTGGGTTGCCTCGGATATTCGACCGATTCAAGTTCGTTCTCTACGAGCAGCTTTTGTTGGTGATTCCATTCGGTAGAGTTCATCTATCAGTTGAACTGGGAAAGGTCGGGCCACAGTTGGAGGCGGCGTGGGAACGAGAAAGCTAGCTTTCCTACGGTAGATTCTTGACTGGATCAGATGAACTGCTGGAAAGCAGCCAGCAACTAAATGATTGATGCAGCTTCTTTGAATGATTCAATCTAGCTCACGCTTGCTTGCTTTGGTGAGAGTTCTTGGCTGACTGACACCATCTGGCTTGCTTGTATTTTGAATATGCTAGTAGAGCGACAAGCCTGCCAAGTACGCATCCGTCGTACTACTTGTGTTAGAATTTCCTTAGCACAAGGCGGTACCAGCTAGCTAGTAATAAAGTGGTGCCATTCAAGTTGTGGCAGCTTCAAGACTTGATCTGGGTCCAGAGAATGTTTCATACAGCGCTTGCTGGCTTCTTTTCCGTGACTCACCAAGCATTGTCGACTGAGGCAAGTACGTGTTCCAAAGGAGAGACAATGACATCGAAAAGTAGCCGAGCAGCCGACGCAAGATACCATCCAGGTTCATCAGTTCACCAACACATGCAGCCACACGAAAGTGTTTGAGTCAGAACAAGTATTTGCTTGCTTGAGCTACCCAGGTTTACTCATCAAGCAAGATCAAGGCTGCCCACGAACGCCGCAAATTTTACCTAGTTCTTCCCTTGTTTGCCACTTTCAAGGAAAACCATTTTTCATAATCCCACCATGGTCCGGATTAGTAGTTTTGTGTTCACACTGGCCGTTCTGGCCCCAGGAGTCTTGTCCTTTACTGCCCCACACAGCCAGCAGAGAAGCGCCAATAATGCAGTGTCTTCGACCAGCCTGGAAATGAGCCTCAGTCAAAAGGCCGCCATCAAGGTTGCGGGTGTTGCTGCGGGGGCCGCCGTGGCAGGAACCGTGTTTGTCAAGAGTTATCTCGACAAGGGATCCAGAACATACGAAGAAGGATCCGTGGCCCGTGAGTACGATGCCTGGGCAGATGATGGTATCCTGGAATACTATTGGGGAGAGCATATTCATCTTGGCTATTACAATGAAGAAGAAATGGCAGCAGGATACAAAAAGAAGGATTTTATTGAAGCCAAATATGATTTTATTGATGAAATGATGAAATTTGGAGGTATTGACCCAGCCAAAGATTCCGAAGCCAAGGTTTTGGACGTTGGTTGTGGTTTCGGGGGAACATCTAGGTATCTGGCCAAGCAACTTGGACCCAAATGCTCGGTGACTGGAATCACCCTAAGTCCAAAACAAGTAGAACGTGGAACCGAACTGGCTCAGGAACAAGGAGTCCCAAACGCTAAATTCCAAGTTACCAATGCACTTGACATGACATTTGAAGACAACACTTTTGATATTGTTTGGGCCTGTGAAAGTGGAGAACACATGCCAGACAAGGAACTGTACATCAACGAAATGATGCGAGTGCTCAAGCCAGGAGGCAAGTTTGTCATGGCCACTTGGTGCCAAAGAGATGACAGAGACAGGCCCTTTGACAAGAAAGATGAACGCGACTTGAAGTTTTTGTACGAGGAATGGTAAGCGTGTAGATTTATTTGTTGGAAGTGTGCCATGGATGATGTGTTGTTCTCACCAACTGCTTGCGATATTCACAACTACTTCAATGACACGACAAACCATCACATTCCATTTCCGTATTCACGGTGCTACCAGGACACACCCCTACTTTATCTCTATCGAAGCGTACGACGAGTTGTTGCAAAAGACCAATGTGATGGAAAACATCAAGACGGACGACTGGTGTGAACCAACCATTGCCTCGTGGCGTCATTCCATCTGGGTTGGTGTCTACGATCCAAGAGGATGGATTTTCAAACCCAAAAAGTACTTTAAATGCTTCCGTGATGGTTGGTGTTTGGAACGAATGCACCGTGCTTTCAAGCGTGGTTTGATGGAGTACGGCATGTTTGCGGCTACCAAGCAAGCCGCACCCGTAGAGGAGCCCCAGGAGGCTGTTGTAGAAGAGGAGAGCGATAGTTAGGTCTATGTGTACGATGGAGTAGAAGCTACTAAGTTTGGATGCTTTTCATCGCTGACAAAAGAAAGTTATCCAAAGCAGGTCATAGCATCATTCATCTTGATCGGTTGTATCCTCCTCTTTCATAGTTTGGTTGTAGACAGACAGCTCACAATATCTGCCAGTTCGAGCCCCAAGCCACATCATGCGGTACTTGTAGGTGGTGTTGGTTGGATGAACAAAAATGCACGCATCACAGTGGAGATGCCAGCATGATGTATGTGGCTTTAGTTTTCCTTCTTGGCAGGTGTTTCTGCGTTGTTGTTGCCACCACTGACGGCTTCGGACATCATTCCCAACAATCGTGACGGCATGATGGGGATACTGGGTGATCCGATGTCTTGACCGATGGTTTTTTCCACGGTGTGCGGAGCGGGAGGTAACTCTGGAATACTTGGTTGTATCGGTGCCACGACGGGAGCAGCACCTCCAAGAGCTTGTTGCAGTTTGGCGGCATTTTTCATAAAGTCTTTGACTTGTGCCCAATACTCGGTCCCTCCTTGCAACCAGGATTCATTGTGGGTTCCATTTTCGATAATGTGCATTTTCAAATACCGACTGGACTGGGTCTTTTTGTAGAGTTTCATCATGTGTGCGTGTGGGACCAGTTCGTCTTGAGCACCCGCCAAGTAGAGGACGGGTACCGTCAAGAGAGGTACAATTTGTTCCGATCGCCATCCAATGCGGAGAATCAATTGTTTAAAGGGGGCCACATAGGGCATGAGGGTGTCGACCATGGCGGCAATGGAGAGAAAGGTGTTTTCGACCATGACTCCTGCAATGGGGATTCCCTGTTGTTGTGCGTACATGGCCAAATGAAATGCGACACTACCACCCAGGGATCGTCCAAAGATAAAGATTTGATCGGGATCTACCTTGGGATGCGTTCGAATAAACCGCAACGACGCTTCCGCATCCAATTTGAGCCCTGCTTCATTGACTTGTGCGTCATCGCTATCCCCGTAGCCGCGATATTCCACCAAGAGAACGTGGGCATCGAGGTACTGTAGCATTTGCAAAGCATTGGGCAATCGCAATCCAATGTTTCCAGCATTGCCGTGGAAAAACACAATGGTGGGCATTTTGCCCGAGGCGGTGGGGGATTGTGGAGAACTGGGTTTGCGGAGCAACAGCCAGGAATGAACGCGGACTCCATCGGCACATTTGATCATGTGAGTTTCAAAGGGTACCTGATGTTCATCGGGACTTCGATAGCGTCGTGGATTCTGGCTGGGTCGTTTGGGGATTCCTCCAATTTCGGGATAATACAGCAGCGAATCTTGTTTGGCGTACAAGAGACCTCCCAAGACGGCCGCCAAGCCGACAATCACAGTCATCACATTCCACAGGAACGGAATGGCAGATGAGAGCAAACCAGCGCCGAGATCATCGCCGTTGGTTCCCGTAGCAAAGCCTGCGGATGACATGTTATTAGTATTCCAGTAACTGTTGTTGGCGGAAGGCAAACAATGGATCCGCGAAAAGTCTTTGGCCGAAGAAGAAGACACGTGTGTCTTTTCTTTTCTATGACCACTGAGGCTGTTTCCAAAGGCGGATGAACGGTAGCTGGCTGTGGCTATGGGGGCCACTGGTCGAAAGGAGACTGGTAGATTGCTTTTTCTCAAACAGACAAAGGCGGCTACTGTGGTGGGGCGTCGAAGCATCTCCGTTTATAATGCCATGGTCAAAGAAGAGCATCGCCGAAAAAGGATCCAGCAAAAGATGTGCATGAAACACAGCAGAGCTGTCATTTATCGATCAAATCACAAGGCGATAAGAGACACGGCTGGTTTCTTGCTCCAAAAAGCCAAGCTTTCTCCTCTTTTTCTTAGCTACCGGTGCCATTCTCAATCTACCAGCAACAGGGCATGAACTCTTGGAGCCACTAACGGAGAAAACAGCTAGAAGGAGGAAAAGTATGCAAAGGGTGGAAGCATCTTGCAGCCAGCCAAGGCCTATACATATGCCAAAGTTCACATTTTAATTTTTCTCTCTATGGTGTTTATTATCTAGATCTTTATTCTCTCTATCAATGCACAAATTGCCCATCAAAGGAGCTCTTGTGCTTTCCTTACTGGGGGAAAAAGGCCGAGATCCCAACATTATAGACTTCACCATTACTTTTCTGGATGTGGATGGCGTTTGGGTATCCCAACTCATTGTAAATTACAGTGATGCTCTGAGCATTGTTAACGATTGCATCTTGGATGATACCAAAGAAGGTATCCATGGTTGGAGGTGTAGCCCAATAGATAGGATTGTTGTTGCCATCATTAGCATGGGCATTGACACCGCCCCTGACAATGACAGTCCAGGGATAGACAATGTTTTGGGGGTTGGGGCCAAAGTTTTGGTACTTGTACTCATAGTTCTGAATGTTTTGACTCTTCCACTTGTTCCGGTTGGCATTCAATTGCTGTTGCTCATGCTGCAAATTCTGGTTTTGGAGATTCCTTTTTCGAAGTCTTTGGGAGCTGAAGCCTGAGATCCCAACATCATAAATTTCCCCATTACTCTTTTGGATGTAGATGTTGGTTGGGTATCCGGATTGACTGTTGTAGCTTACAGTGATTCTCTGAGCATTGTTAATGATTGCATCTTGGATGATCCCAAAGAAAGTATCCATGGTTGGAGGTGTAGCCCAATAGATAGGATTGTTGTTGCCATCATTAGCATGGGCATTGACACCACCCCTGACAATGACAGTCCAGGGGTAGACAATGTTCTGGGGGTTGGGGCCAAACTTTTGGTATTTGTACTCATAGTTCTGAATGTTCTGACTCTTCCACTTGTTCCTGTTGGCATTCAATTGCTGGTGCTCCAGCTGCCATCTTTGACCCAGTGCTGGTGTTGCTAACAAGCCAAGCAGGCTGAAGAGGGCAAGCAGTGTGGTCTGTAAGGCTTTGCTGTTGATCTTCATGATGATTTAGTTTTGGAGTTGTTTTTTGTTTGTTTGTGCTTTTGGTTTATGAGACAGAGGGGACCAGGGCCGGTGTACAGGGCTCCTGCGATAGCTGTGGTCTCCAATGCATGAACCGATTGTCGATTCAATCACAGTGGGTTGGGTCCCAGTCCCAGTCTCGTGCTTGTTGTTACGGTTGAACTTTCTTGATGTTGTGGACTTGGAACACTACGATATTCTTACCGTTTCTCCTGGCTTATGCTTTCAGTTTGGCTCAGTCGTCTGTCGATTATCTTTGAGATGACGACGTGCTGGCGAATGATCAGTCCCCGATCTTGTGAAAACCACAGGAGGCATCACGAGAGAACTCCACGATCACAAGTGCCAATTAGAATGCGAAGGTTTGGGTCAATGAGAAGAGTTGTAACCAAGCCAAAGACCCGGTCATACTAGAAGATACCAGGTACCGAGATCCAAAGAAACAAAGGAAGAGAACACTGCTCTTGGTGGTTGCATAAAATCAGGTTTTGCACAAGCTTTCGAGCCCAACAACTAACTCTGGTTGATTATTTAATCTCCCTCCATCCAAAATGAAGTTATTTTTTTCCGCCCTTCTCGCGACATCTTTGAGCGCTGCCTCGGCTGACAAGACAGTGTTTTCTGTCAAGGATGACTTGTCCTTTGATGAGAGTGGCAAGTTGGCTGCCCATCATATGCTTTACCCTGCCGGCAATTGGGATTGTCCTGCTGCCACCGCTGCGGCTCCCCATGGATTTGAGTTCCGAGCTCTGGCTGGTGAAGCACTCCAAATGGTGTTCCCCGACTACGAACCGGGGTCATCGGCATGTCCTGTTGCCTGTCCCGAGCTGGGAACTGACCGATCGGTAGCTCATGCCATTATGCCTCACAGACGCAATCCTGATTCCACAAATAATTTTAACGACTGGTTCGAAGGAAACTGCAAACGAGCCGAGGTCTGCCTCATCAACTACCACAGTCGAGAGACTCCCGTGAAACTCTTTTGGGTCGACCGGGATGGCAATCCAAAACTTCACATGGAAATCGAGTACGGGGAACGCAAAACCAGATGCTTCCACAGCTTTGTCGGTCACAGATTCCAAGCTCAAGACGGTGATACCGGGGCAGTTGTTGAGGAGTTTACCATTGAACATACCTTGTCCACTGCCATTGGTGAATCCCCACCTTCGGGGGATCCTCAAGGACACAACTTTGACCGGGAAATCGAGTCTACCCTTCGACACGAATGGACCAAGCATGAACGTATCCAGCGTACCTTCAGCCCCTTGGGATTCAAAAAGGCCAGACTACCCGATGATGTATTTGCCTCCATGGGATCCTTCTACTTTAACAACCGAAACAATGTGCTCAGAGAGGAATGGAATGGAAAGGGTGTCTTTGTGAACTGGTGGGAAACGGATTGCTACTTTGTTCAAATTCCCTGGGACTTGAAGGGAAAATGGCAAGAACGATTGAGGCTGCTTGTGGAGGCATGGGCTGGAGTTCCTGTGGAGCAAACAGATATGTATGGCCTTCGCCAGTATGTTGAGGGGGCTCGCCTTTTGACACATGTGGATCGAGAAAGCACACATGCGGTCAGTCTCATTGTCAACATTGCCCAGCACAACCTCACGGAACCATGGCCCGTAGAAGCCAATGACCACGCAGATCGCCTGCATGAAATCATTATGCAGCCTGGTGACATTGTCTACTATGAGAGTGCCAAGGCTCTGCACGGCAGGAACCGCCCACTCATGGGAGAGGATGCCCGATACATCAACCTCTTTACTCACTACCGTCCTACTGGCGATCCAAAATGGATGTTGAAGGCCAACCCCGAAGGTACACCCGAACCTGTCTTGGAGGTGAAAGGAGAATGCCGCTTGCAAACGGTTGGCACTGCAGAGCTCCCCAACAAGCAACTGGGCATTGTGGAGGCTGTCAAGTGCGATGACGAGCGTCTTGGCGATACTATTTCTCCCACCCTCTTCACGGCAACCGGCGGAGAAGACCTGATTGACTGGTGGAAGATGACTGGCGCCAACCGAAAGAAGGCGACCTACAACATTGAGTAGAGTACCGTAGGCAGTGAGGAGCCGTTTAGAGTCTTGTAGACGTTTAGAATATAATTATAATAAGTACTGGTACTTGTTGAATGATGAATCTTACTTGTTGCTCTACTATCGCACTGAGTAAGTTGTCCAGCAGCAAGGCTCAGGAGCCAAGAGGACATGGAGATCGAGGCGTGCTAGTACCCCTAATGCAAAAATCGTATGATACTGTGAATTGTTGCTCCAAGAAGACTTTTATCGGGGAAGGTAGACCTGGAAGTGGAGAAAACCACTCGGCTCGAGCAAACCGTAGCATGTACCAAACAGGCAGAGCATTCTTTACTCTCCATTCTAATATTATTGCTCTGTCTTTCGCAGTGTTTCCTCGGTTTCTCGCGCCCATTCTTCGACATTTCGTTCGGCATTTAGTCGAATGACCTTGGCCATGGCCGCTCGTCCTACTTCTTTTGACTCTTCTTCTTCCAACTGTCCACTGTACAATTCCTCCCATGCTTGCGTATTGGCCCCCAGCTGTAGTTTGACACCATTGCCGACCACAAAACTCGAGCACGTCAAGATGTATCCTCGCTGTTGTGCTTGCGTGGACATGTAGGGCGACAATCCATCTTCGCCTCGCTGGAGACTGGACGTATTGGATTCGTTATCGTGCTGACCGACGCAAGTGAGGCAATTTCCTCTTCGGCAATCGGATGGCATGGAGGGCATGGCCAGTTGATCGGCGACGCCGGTTCGTTCCAATGCAGCCAAAATGGATTCTCCCTGTTGAATGGATGTCTTGTAACTTCGTCCTTCATACGAAACTTCCAAAGAATACGTTGTTTCTGATGATGAATGATCTTGGTCACTATTATTATTCGATTGTAGCAAGCACTGCGACCGTGCATGGCTCTTTATTCTGGTGGAACAAGAGATCTGTGATGACGGGGACAACGACGAGACACCCCTTGAGAACAATACATGCAGTAGCATCCAGCAGCCACCCATTCGTGACAAAGATCGAACAGATAACATCATCTTTAGGCAGCAGGTTAGACTTCAGAGGCACAGGGTAGCAAGCTCATTAGTTTTCCAGGAACGTAAGGATGTGCTGAAGCCCAGCTCCAGAGGTCAACCCCTTGAGGATTGTGGAGGTTTCCTTCCTCCCTCTTCTCGATTGGTCGTTGGCTGTTGGCTGTGGTTCTCTCGTCAGTGTTGCGTGGATCAACAAACAACGCTGGCTTTCGATTCCCGAGTCTTGACGTTTCGCGAGAAATCTGGAAATGTGAGAAATCGTCAAAAACTGCAATTGTGAGAAAATTGACGAAACGTTGAATTGTGAGAAATCAGCAGAAAATGGAATTGTGAGAAAGGGACGAAAATAGAATTGTGAGAAATCAAAATTTGAAAAATTGAATTGTGAGGAATAGGAAATTGAATATTGAAATTGTGAGAAATCGAAAATTAATGAATTCTGAGAAATCGGCAAAAATTGCAATTGTGAGAAATCAGCAAAAAATGAAATTGTGAGAAATCCACAAAACTTGAATTGTGAGAAATCGACGAAAAGTGTAATTGTGAGAAATCAGCTTAAAATGGAATTGTGAGAAATAAAAATTTGAAACTTTTAATTGCAAGGAATCGGAAATTGAAGATTACAAAATTGGAATTGTGAGAAATCATCAAAAACTGGAATTGTGAGGAATCGAATCGGAAATTTAAAATTGGAATTGTGAGGAATCCAGAAAGTGGGAATTGTGAGGAATCAGAAATTGATATGATATTGTGAGAAATCGGAAATAGAAAATGGAATTGTGAGAAAGGTTTCGTGACTGACGTACTTGGGCCTTCCGTGAGGCAAGAGACTGCCAACAACAGCCAAACAACGGAGCTCTGTTGACACCCATGTGTTGGAAACACCGAGCTGCTCATATTTCCATCATGAAACCACAAGGATACCCAGCTCTGTTTCTCTGCCTCACTCTGGCAGCCTGCCCATTGGTAGATGGCTTGGTTGTGCCGCCCATAATTTGGAGCGGGAAATCCGCCACAACGCGGTTATTCCTGGCCAAAAAGAAGCGCAACACCAAAAAGGCGGGCAATTCTGCGAGTGGTGGATTTGCCGCCACGGTCAAGAAAAATAAGTCCACCAATGTGGGTGGCGACTATGCCATGTTTCCAGCACTGGAGCCAGACGTCAAGGGCACACTGGTAGCATCACCCGATGATCCAAATAATGATCCGCCCCGAGAGTTGCCCAATGAGATTTATCAACGTCTCGACCAAATCTACGGATTTTCACAATTCAACTACGAAAATAGTCCAGTGGCAGAAGAAGAAGAAGAAGAAACGACAATGTCCTTTCAAGATTTGATTTCTGGAAATTTGGAAGAAGAAGACGAAGACGAGGACGACAATGATACCCACCAAATATTATCCCAATTACCACCGTTTGAACAGTTTCACGTCCTTCATGTAGACCCCTTGGTGATATCCGTGCAAGATTTCTTTACCAGTGAAGAATGCGATGCCTACGTCGACATGCCAAACTTGCCTGACAAAGAAATGTTCCAAACAGGATCCATGACGGTGGGAAAAGATGCCAAGAGCAAGGCACAACGAACCAGCACCACTTGGTTCAATCATTACAAAAACGTCCCCGCATTAATGGCAAAAGCATCCCGCTTGTTGGGTTTGGAGGGAATTGATCAGTGGGAAGAACCTCAGACTGTACGGTACGTCAAATTAAATGGATGGGCTCGGAACAATGAATGATGATGACGATGCAAAAATGGCACAAGAGTCCGCAATCTACCAAACGGCCAATTTCTAAGCGATTCGTTCCTGCCTTGCTTTTTGTACATACACCAGATACCGAAGAAGCGAAAAATTTACATGGCACTTGGATGCCCTGGGGCCACAAGAGTTGACCTCCAGCAAGGGAGGACAGCGGATAGCCACTGTGTTGGTGTATCACACCGATTTGGAGGAAAACGAAGGTGGTGCCACAATTTTTCGTGATTTGCGAGACAAGAATGGCGATCGATTGAAAGTGTAAGTAGTGCAGCAGAGCCGTCGGGCCAGAGTACATTCGGGCTCTAAGGACATGCTGTTTGTTCTAATTCCCATTTCTTGTCATCAATCATTCAACCAATCAGTCAACCCAAGAAAGGATCGGCTTTGATATTCTTTCCCTCTGCGGGTGGGATCCCCAATCAACCTTTGGATATTCGTACTTTGCATTGTGGCGAGTCGGTTGCTGAATCGAGCCAACACGATAAATGGATCTCACAGCTCTGGCTACGAGCTACTCGCAATGCCTACCAACCCACGGCACCCGATGGGAATACCCATGCGGCTGCCACCGAAGCCATTGCAGACTATTGCAAGGCGGCAGCGTAAGGATACTAATAAAAATCAAATCATCTTTATCTGTATCAATAGACAATAGACTGTCTTTCGTAGTCTATGTAGTGGCTACTAGCTAATACATGTAGTTAGCTGGTGGACTGGTACTACAGGTAGTCGACCTTCAACGGCGATTGGAGGACCAACGTTTTTGGAGGTTTGTGTCCGGTGTATCAGATTTGTGATCGGCTGACTTGCGAGATTTCATTGGCCATACTAACGGCAGAGAAAATCGGCTTACGCATTTTCCTCATCATTTATTCTGCAGCAGCAGCGGCATGCAACCTCGTACCGTTGGCAGCAAGTCATCGACTCGATGTTGATAGGGGATCCATTGAACATGCACATCTAAAACTTGGGTATATCGACCGTTTCCTTGGCAGCACCAATAGCATCACCAGTACCAGCACCAATACCAGCATCAGCACCGGCACCAATACCAGCGCAGTTACCCACGATAATGGAAGACGACGACTCCAGATCTCCTCGGCAGAAACGGCCGCGACCCAACCACGCTTTCGCACCTTCGCCATCATCGGTGATGAACCACGAGATGATGGTACTGAACCCCACCACCACCGTGCAAAGCAACATCCCCCAAGATACCATTTTGGAGACTCCCGCTGCCAAACGACTCCGACAGGAAGGACCCGCTCAAGCCACGAATGGGGGTACTACAGGCTGTCATATACCCGCACACGTACTGGCAAGGCATACTGTCAGCATGGAACGAGATGATCAGTACGATCACTTGGAAAGCCATTGGTGGAAAGCACCTCCCACCGCACCTCAGCTCTTGCCCGCTTGTACCATGGGCCTGGGAAGCGTGGCCGCTGCAAATGCAAATCCCAACAACACAACTACCTCGATGATGGGCTGCAATGCCTGTCAACGGTTCTTCATTCCACCCACCATCTCGAATACGACACAACAAAATACGCTTCTCAATTACTTTACGTCCAGCAAGCCCAAACCAGCAGCAGCAACAGCTCCAGCGGTGATTATCGACAAGGCAGCCTGTCTCTGTACCTTTTGCGAACGGTCCACGTGTGCCAAATGCCTGCTATCCTGCGAGCAATGCTTGCATGCCTTTTGCACACTCTGTTCCACCCAAGCCTACGTTGCCAGTAGTAGTGGTGGTAGCAGTAGTGGCAGAGAGGAAGAACAGACACTGTGCCTGGATTGTGCCTCCATGTTGGACTTGCCACAAGGTACCATGGACATGATGGAGGGGTAGCTTGCTTGCATTCGAGAGAGAAGTGGGAGGAAACTGTCAATGGGAAAACAATGTATCGGCACATGTTATTATTGCATGGGAAATCTTTAGCTATCTGGGAAAGTTTATTTATTTGGATGTACTCGATATTTCCAATCCTTTGGCGTCCAGTTGGTCCTCAGGCTGGGCATCAGCGCATAACCTACCCTAATACTTTATGAATAGATAGATGGTCAATATAATATTAGTTAGGTTATACCATGACTAATGCAATAGACTTTAAACCAGGTTACGCAAGCTTTAACACAGGTAGTATCCTTGGAACGCTGTCCTGCAAAGACGTCTTGTTTTGGCACAACTCGTAGCACGAATGGCCGTTAGCACCTTGCTGGCTAGTAGCTACTAGTACCGTACTAGCTAGAAAGAAACCGCAATTAAGCTTGACTTACCCTAGCTAGCGTAGAGTGGAGCTCATATGGTCGTCTCTTAGAGCAGACGAATCCGTTTGCTCGTCATGAAGAAACATGTGCTCTCTCTGACGCAACCTCCAGCAGGTCAAAAGCTTCCTACTACTTGAGGGTACTAGTAGCAGCAGAATCACATTGTACATTACAACAATATTATTTAGTTTAAAAGCGGCCTAGTCCCACAAAAGATTGTTTGAGAACATGCCAATGATAATTGGTTTAATGGAGAAACATTGATGGAGGTATTCAAGTCGAATCGAATGGATTCGAGCGTATTGCTTGCTTGAAGTCATTATTGTAAGCTCTTCCAAAACTGCGTGCATCCGTCACACTAGCTATGATGTTTCGATTCATTCTACCGCATGTGGTAGCTTTTGATGGAACCGCATTGTCCTTCCTGTTTACGATCGTTGACGGCTACGACGAGCCCACCGCGCTGCTCGGCGGAAGGGGTTGATTATTCTTCGTGGTTGGGTTGTTGTGGTCTCAGTTGCTCGTGTCTCATCCATGGTGAACCAATCGTCTCCTGGGGTAGCAAACTTGTAGTCCATTGGTTCACTGTTGTAATACGTACAGAAACAAAAATGAGACAGGTGTTAGTTTTGTCCAAAAAGATGAGGGTATCCACTTCTCCGCGCAAAAGATACTCACTCTTCGTAAACAGTCCGTCCCTTGCAAACGTTGCTCTCCACAGTGTACCACAACGGTGCATCCATTGAGGGAGGGGATGGAAGCGAGTCCATGGACAACGGGGATGGAAGAGACCAGGCCAGCTTGAGCTCCCCTATCGCATCTTGTGGTCGGGTCAAATCAAATGAGAAGGCATTGCAAGAAGCAAAGACCACTGCCACTGCTAGGAGAAGTTGAAATTGAATAGAGCTCATCATGTGTGTTTTTAAAAACGCGTCCGGTACCGGTACTTGGATTAAATTTGTGGTTGCAATGGAAATGATGAATGAGACGTTGGAGGGAATGGTGATGGGGCTATTCAAGCTACCGTATCATGGCGGTTGCTGCTGCAATACTTGTGGGAATGTTCTGTTGTGAGAAAGATGCGTCGATTGAAAACTTCGTACATCATCGAGAATGTGTGCCACGATAGCATGAGTTCGCGGAATGAGAAAGAGGGGGAAAGGGGTGTCAGAAAGGGTGTCAAAAATGCAGATGTGGCCGATGTGGCAAAAAAATCGTTAAAAAGGCGTGCTTTGGCATTTCAAGACATCACCTTAACCCAAACCTCATTTGCAAACCCTGATTGGCCAACCCCGCGGCTTCACTGCCAGTCCAGTCATAGTACGCGCAGTCCAGTCACACGCAACAAGACAACAATTATAGGTAGTCATGGTAAATTTAGGGTTAACAATACATGTTACTTTGAAGATTGAAATGCAAAACTTTTGTTCCCTCATCTACCTGAATTCCACGGATGCACAGCTTTCTTTCAACTGATTGGATCCTAAAGGTGGTACATGTACCGGTACCGGTTTGGGGTACGTGTGAGTACATATGTACATGTCCTGGTAGGTACCGGTACGAAACACCCCGGAACTGGTTGTTGAAACTTTGGCACTTGCAGATGTTTGATTCTCTCTTTTTATTAAATTCTGGATCCAAGGCAAGGCAGATGGTATCCGTACCGAGAACTCAAGGATGCCATTGAATTGCTGGAAGAATACACCAGATGCCTCTTGGCAACTCTCACAACCTCTCTCTTCACGAGAAGTCTAGCTAGTTGTGAATTTGACGCGAGCTGAGGTCAGCGAGGTTGCTCCGCCTATTTGGTCTTTGGAGAGGACATCTAATTGTTTGCTTGGCATTCGAATGACAGTGTTGCCAACGCTGGAGCTGCTGCTGCATTTTGAAAGGCGCTGGGCTAGAGTAGCTTCTTCCTTGCGTATCAGAGCAAAGGATATTAAAGCACGCAATCAGGCACACTTTGAACCGGTCGTCTGCGGAAGAAGAATCTATAAGGTTCTATAGACCCGGGGAGGGTTTAAGAGTTGTTTGGTCTACCTTTCAGTGGTGGCCACAGGCACTAGCCTGTACGTTCACTCTCTGCGGTGCTGCTAATGTAAGGTTGTTGGTCTTGACATGTATTGATAAACACGGAGCTTGTTTCTGGTGTTTTGTTGTGCTCTTCATCGTTTCTGGTGTTTTGTTGTGTCGTTTTTGTTCGGTTTTGGGTCTCCGCTGGCCTACAATGCACTGATGACGGCATATTAATCAGAGAGCGCAAGCAAAACTAGTGACTTGGTTCAGCAGTACTGGGAACAAAAAAGAGTTTTTTGGGATCCAGCTTGGACCGAGTCTGTGTCAACTTGAGCGCATCGCAATCAGGGAAGGACTTCTCAAATGTGGTTTTGTTCAAAAGGTTTTCCAAAGGATAGTACATGTACTTCCATACATGCTCTTCCACAATGGCCATCATAGAATCGACGTAATCTTGCGCCGGACTGGAAGGTTCATCTTGTCCATGAACACCCACCACAAGGCTCGTAAATCCTCTCCCTGCATACCCCCGTAACAGCCTGGTTGGGAAGTGAGCTTCTCAGGATTCCATATGAGCATACAATGAGATAGACCCATGGGAGCCTTGTCCCTAAACGTCTTCTGCACATCATCCTATTGGATATCCTGAAAGGATTTGGCATCGTAAATGAGCGCACGGCAAATCCATCGCTGGGGAATGCCGCACCCAACATTTCCGATAAAACCGCCAAGGAATAGTCCTTGAATTCGCCGGAAATGAGGGGCTGAACCGGAAACTTGTCCACGGTGAGAGTAGCCATTTTATTTATTCATTGATGCATTGTAGGAGCCCCCCGCGCTTGCTTGTGAATCAGGACACCACTGCCTGCTTGTGAATCAGGACACCACTGCCTACAGCTGTATGCGACGCTGCGACACTGTCTGCCACGATAGCAAGATCTGCGACTTTCATCTTCTTGTTTGATACCGATCTTTCGCCTTGTTGGATCTGGTGGATTCTTAGTGTCTCCGAAGTCAGGGCAGAATTCTGAGACAAGGTGTGAATTGCTATCGCCTTTCCCATATAGACATAAGGCCCCCCACAAGAGCCATCAAATCCTCCATTGTGGAAGTCAATTGAATCTTTCTTTATCAAACCAACAGATCCACTCTTGGGGGTGACATGCAGTCGGTCCGTGAACTCCTCGTCAACATTAAACAACGCAACCGGGCAATGGTAAAAGGCCAACTCGTTTTTCGCTCCATCTCTTGGGATTTCGTCCACAGATTGGCAGCTGGAATAAACTGAGGAAAGATTCCTTGGTCAGTTAGTTCGCTTTAGCACTGCCCATTCGTTTTCATAGTGGAACTTATGGACAGATACGGGTATTTCTTCTTTGCCCTCTTCCGGCGCAATAGTACCGTCGTTGCGTACAAGGACTGACGTGAGAAATAAGGGCTCGTCAATCACTAGACTAGTGCTTGGCTGCTTTTGTTGTTCTTTTCCGAGACGGTATGGCCAGCGGAGCATGCCAGTGTAATTGTCACTGCAAACGCCGTGGCAATCACAGATATCTCATTTCCTGATGGCTTGCTATACAATATATAGATACTGTCAATAAAGGGATATCCTGGGTCCGGCGACTATTATTGTTGTTATTGCTGCTGCTGCTCCGACATGTGGTTTTTCGGCGACGACAATTCTGCCAAACTCAGTCCATATTCATTCCGCAAATCTGTCCACAATATGTCGTTTCGACTTGAAGGAAGATCAGCCAGAGGGAAAGGAGCTTGCGAGAGGCAGAATCAAAGGAGGATGCCATGGCCATGGTGGACTTGTTGGGATCGGACGCTTTGCTAGTTGCTAGTACCGGTACTAGTAGTTTGATTGAGAATTCAATCGATGGATGATTGGCGGCAAGGCAATGGAGGGGCTCTGTTTCGGCATCCCGTGGTCAAAACTAAAGTAAGATAACCACCCCAAAAAATCAATCCAGTGACTCAGGCTCAGTCATTGAATCAAATCGAATCGAATCATTGAATCAAATCGAATGATTCAATCAAGCCGAATCGAATGATCAATCGAACATTCGATTTTTCGGATCTTTCTTGTTTGCGAGATTCTCAGCCACCAAACCAAGCAGCTTGGCAGCACCAGAGACCATTATCAGAGACCCAAACAAAAGAATCAAGTCCATCTATCGGTAGCAAGTAAGCTGTAGTCAATTCCTCGTTCAAGCTATCAGTCGTCAACAGAAAGGGATACCGTGTGGAGCTGTTGGCCTGATTCGATTCATTCATTCCATCTACAGAAAACATCCACGCAACAGTAGTCGTGACCATTCTTTCTTGGCAATGACCCTAGCCATGAAGAAGGCATTTGCCATATTCCTTGCCTTTGCCATTGTGGCCTCTGCATCTGCGAGGGACATTGTTCGATCCATTCAAAAGGATCTCACCTACGATGAAAATGGCAAATTGGCCAAACACCACCTTCTCTTCCCTGCGGGTAACCATCGATGCGATCCTGCCAAAATCGGACAAACATATGGCTTTGAGTTTCGTGCTGTTGCCGATGAGGCCCTTGCTGCTGTGTTTCCTGGAGCCAGTGAAGGAGATTGTGTGGCAGTTTGTCTTGAGCGAGGGACGGACAAGTCGGTTGCGCATGCTGCCATGCCCGAACGACACTGGCTTGGAGAGGGAGATTTTCGTGATTGGTTCGAGAATACATGCAAGAAAACGGAGGTCTGCCTCATGAACTATCACAGCCGGGAGACTCCCATTAAAGTTTACTGGATCTCACCTACTGGAGAGAAGAAATTTCATATGGAACTGCAATATGGCGAGCGTGGCACTCGGTGCTTTTCCAGTTTCTTGGGGCATAAATTTGAAGTGGAAGATGGGGTAACAGGAGAGCTGCTGCGGAAAATTAAAGTTGAGTTTATCAGCACTATTGCAACTGGCGTTTCTCCTCCCAGTGGCGATCCTGAAATGCGTGACTTTGAGTGGGAAATTGAAAGGACTCTGCACAACGAATGGAGAAGGCACAATCGGGTGACGAGGACCTTCAGCCCATTGGGATTCAAGAAAGGACGCCTTCCAGAGGATTTATTTGCCAGTATGGGAGCATTCTACTACAACAATAGAAACCACAAAGTGCGGGAAGAGTGGAACGGAAAAGGTGTCTTTGTCAATTGGTGGGAAACGGATTGCTCCTTCATTCAAATTCCATGGAACCAAAAGGGAACATGGCAAGAGAGACTCCGACTGCTGGTAGAAGCATGGGCTGGTGTTCCTGTGGAGCAAACAGATATGTATGGTCTCCGCCAGTATGAACATGGTGCCCGACTGTTGACTCATGTTGATAGAGAAGCAACCCATGCTGTCAGTCTAATTGTGAATATTGCCCAAGGAAACATGACTGAGCCCTGGCCTGTGGAAGTGAATGACCATAATGATCGATTGCATGAGGTCATCATGGAGCCAGGGGATGTGGTGTACTACGAGAGTGCCAAGTGTTTGCATGGAAGAAACCGGCCATTGACAGGCCCAGACGCTTTCTACAGTGAGTACCCCAACAATAAAGCTGGGGTTGTATTGTGTTTTTATATTTCTCATGACATTGTTTTCTGTTTATTCCCAGCCAATCTATTTACTCACTATCGGCCGGTTGGTGACCCAAAATGGTTCGAAAAACCAAACCATGAAGGGGTGCCAGATCCTGTGCTTGATGTGGAAGGAGACTGCCGGCTGGAAAAAGTGAAGACCTCCGAGACAAGCTCAAATCAACTTGGAGTTGTAGAGGCTGTCAAGTGTGATGATCCCCGACTTGGATCATATGTGTCGCCTGCCCTATTCAAGGCGGCAAGTGCAGAGGATCTCATTGAATGGTGGCGAATGACGTCTCCACCGGAACCGTCCCAAAGCACAGATGCCACGGACAGTGGAAGGGACGAACTATAGATTGGTTTTAAAATTGTGACAATCAACACGTCTATAGGATACATTTCTTGAGGCCACGACAATTAGCGAGAAAGTATAGCTGCTTTGTCATCTATTGGTTTGTACGGTTTGCCGGTGCCATACAGTATCACCTCTTTCGGTCCTGCTAAAAGTTGAAACGCCGTTATTCGACTTCGAGCCTGTCATTCGTTTCTGAAGCCCCACTAGCTTAGCCAGGCAGGTCTCATTTCATTTTGTAGAACGTCGTGATAGAAACAAGAGCCGAGAGCTGCTTGCACAAGGCAAGTCTCGAGGACGTTTTAGACGCTCCGAAAGGTAGTGTCTTTGTTCAATCCGCCCATAGATCCCTGCGTACCATACGACCCCAAACATAAAGCAAGTTTCAAGGACGTTCACGACGCGCACACATACATTGAGCTGCATTGGTCCAATCCTTGTGCCCCCGTCAGAGCAAGATAAATTGCAACCTGCCCCTCCAGTGGTTGCTACGTGTAGTTGGACAGCAAGAGGCAAGTCTCGGTAAACTTGAGGACTTGAGGAACCCAAAGTCAGGCCATAAGACAGCAGAAATGCCGTAGTCTACGATTACACCAAGACAACGCACGACATGGAGGGCGAAGCGAAGATTCCAATGCACGTCTGGGATGAGCAGCGAGGAAAAGGATATCCCACCAAACCACAAACCTGAAAACAGCAACTCCAAACTTACGATGCTAACACTCAATATGGAACAACCCAAGAAGCCATCTTCCCTTCTCGCAGCCGCGCTCAAGACGGCTTCACCGCAGTTCGCTCATGACTTGGCGCGGAATCGACAGCTCGAAACGCCAAGGGCTCCCATGGTGACGAGTCCACTTCAAGCGAGACGGGCGGTCGAGGAGCGCCTTCCCCCGGCCACCCTGCACCCACGAATCTCCATCATTGGTTCTGTTGACTTTTACAACGACGAGAGCCCTGCTCTGTGTGATGCCATCGGAAAGGCATTGGCCAGACGAGTCCCTGACTGCTGTTTGATGACAGGTGCCAATTCCATCACCCAAGAGAAGACAGCTCTTGCTTTCAAGAAGGAGCTAGAAAGTAAGCAAAGGAGTCCGCGTATCTTCCACCTAGCCCCGGAAGGATTCCAGTGCGATTGGGAGTTCGGAACCCATCTGACAGCGGGGAGAAGCATGGAAGAAAGGCGCTTCCTCCTGGCTACCCTGGCTGACATTTGCATCTCCATCGAGGGCGGCCCAGGGACCGTAGATGAGATGGAGCAAGCCCTGCAAGCCGGGAAAATCATCATCCCATTGGGGCGGACTGGAGGCGCATCCAATGGAATGTTCGGAGCCCCCACTGCGCCCAGACCTTCCTGTGTCGAGGAGTCCACTTGGAAGTTGCTTTTTGATACCGGCGCCAGCATCCAAAGCTCAGCCGACGCTGTGGTGTCCATTGTAGAAGCCATCCTGGAAGGAAACCACCCCAAGAACAACCACAAAACGCCTCGCTTGGCCCAAGACGCTGTGGAGGTTTTGGGAGAAGCCATTGCCGATGCCGTCGGCGTCACCTACACGAAACGCCCCACGGTCAGCAAGGACTCGCCCGCGTATGTGGAACCAACGTTGTCTGGCTGTGCTCACCGGGTCTTTCGGGGGAGTAATCATGTCACTTCAGGAGACAGTCTTGGTGACATTTACTTGGGGCCGAAATCAGCTGCCGGGCGGTCGGCTTTGTCCGATTTGCAGGCCGCGAACATTGGCGGTATTGTCAATTGCACAAACACATTTCCTTGCTACCATCAAGCCGGCGGAATCCAATACTGCACCGTAGCGGTCAACGATGAATGCGGGGCAGACATCTTGACATTCTTGGACGGAGCCACAAACTTTCTGAACATGGTTCTCTCGAGAGGCGCCAGCGCATTGGTGCATTGCGAAATGGGAGTTTCTCGCTCCTCCACCGTCGTCATGGCCTACTTGATTCGTTTCCGGAACATGACACGGGACGAAGCATACCTGCACATCAAAGCCAGGCGTCCGCAAGCTAGCCCCAATCCGGGCTTTTGGGAGCAATTGAATCAATTCGAAAAGCGATGTCGCGGCGGAAATGATGGCGCGCCCGAAGAAGGAGGGGCAGTGTTTGATGCCGATTGGGCAAAGACTTCAAATGCCGCGTTTGCGACCTGCCGCGAAACGCCAGAGGTCTTGCGGGCCAACCAAGCCCACCGGCGCCTTCAGGACACGTCGAGTGAAGACCATGAACAACTACTTTCCGTATGCCTGGACTTCGTGTGGGGTAGAGGCGTTTTAGATATTGACCTGGATTGGCTCTCTTTCCTTTGCGACGAACTGGACCAACGAAATGATAGGGGCTGGTCAGCCTCCACGGTTCGGGGCATTCTTTTCGATCATAACTCTGAATTTTCAGGCATATGGGCTGGGGAAGTATACGAGCACCAAATCCAAAAAGTGCTGCGCAAATTGGAAGGATAGAGTCCAGAACGCGGCAATGAGCTAGCGGCAGTCACTACTAAATTTTATAGAAAACCGCACAACCATGAGCAAAGCGTGTTCTGCAATTTTTAAGACAACTCCATTCGCACATCCGACCACATCTCACAGAACTAGCGTATGCGAAAACCACACCGAAAAAAGCTGCCGTAGCTGACAACTGCCTTTGCTGCGCACTTCACCGGGAGGGGGGTGGTCCATCGCCAGGGAAACGAAAGGCGGGTCAGCTTCCAACGTTCGTAACATTTCTATGATTCTCTGGGGTCTGGGATGGTTCTAAAATAAACGAGCACCAAATCGAAAAAATGCTTCGCAAATTGGAAGGGTAGAAGTCCAGCATTGGGGCCATGCGCTGAGCTTCTAAGTAGTTACTAAATATATAAAGACCACAACACAGGTAGTCTCAACTCGCCACCTACACTACAGGCCGGCCGAAGACTCGAAGAAGGAAGAATGGCACAGGCCCCTTTCTCTCGCACACGGAACAAATGGCAAAGTAGATTGTTGAGTGTTGCGGCTCCACGAAACTATTGGTCACACTGTCCACACCGCATACAAACATTTCCAGAAATTTGTTGCCGCTTTACTCATCGTCACTTTCCTCGTCACCGTCGCCTTTCTTCTGGTTGAGCTTCACGGACAACCATTCCCAACATTCTTCAACTCTTTGGTTAAAATCCTCCGCCTCTTCCGGTTTGTAGAAGCCACTGCGCTTTGCATACTCATATCCCTTATCCTTCCAAAACACTTGTAGGGGATTGATAGAATTGTACATGTCCACAAGATTGTCCACCTCGGGGCCAATGTAGGCATCCATATTCTGACCAGTGGGATCGACTTCCTTTTCCTTCTCTTCGTCAGTAAGGTTGTCCCACCAGTTCTTAATGTACCCTTCAAGTTTGCCAATGTGCTTCTTTTTCTTGGCTGAAATTTGGCCTCCTTTGAACCAATCCAAGATATCACTGATGTTGTAGTCAATTTCTTTCTCCATCTCCAGGGCAGCATCGGGATCACGCTTCCACTCCAAACCTTCGTCTTCGGTGGACTTGAATGCATTTGAGTCCGTTGTTTCGGCATATTTCACTGCCTCTTTTAGTTTCTTAAGGTGCTTTTTGTGGTCGCCGCCGACTTTTGTCAATTCCACCTCATAACCTTGCGTTCCCCACCACTCCAGAATATCCAGCAATTCCTCTGTTGCCTCCTTGTCGTTAATGTCAGGGGCTTGGATGGGGTGGAAGATACCGAAAAAACCCTCCACTTTGGTAATCTTCTCGGGTTCTTCCTTTTTCTTCTTCTTCTTTGTGTCTCGGTTCCATTCCATGATCTCCGTCATCAATTCGGCCGCCGCAGCAGATCGTGACGAATCCACGGGCTTACTGTACCGACCCCAAAACTTGGCCAATCGCTTTGCTTTTTCATACTTGTCGTCGTATTCTGCCTGGGCCGCCTCGGCTTCGGTGAGGTCCATGAATTGTCCCTCTTTTCTGTAAAAGGACATGGCGTCCTCAACTTCGACGCATGTTTTGACCGCATCGAGTTTGGACTGTTCGTTGAGCGGAGGAATACGTCCAGCCTTACCAATGGCCATATGCCAGAGACCAACAGCCTGCTCACAAGACATGGCCTTCCACACATCGTGTTTCATTTCCTCCAAGGCATCATCGGCGTCGTAGCTTTCTCCTTCCTCTTCTTCCCACCAAATGATGGCTTTGGCAATTTCCTTTCGGATCCTGTTTGCATCCTTTGCGGTAAGAGGATCTTCCAATTTCATCTTTTGCCACTGAACAAATGCATCTCTCAACTTGGTGAGCTTCATTCGTTCCTCTTCGTTCTTGATGTGTCCAAAGGTGTCGACGGGTTCGTCGTGCTTGTGCCACAGTGCGAGTGTGTCTTCCAAAATCTTGATGTTGTTCTTGTTTCGCATGAATTCGACGACATCGGCGGGTACTTCTTCGTCGGATCCGTATTCGGGCATTTTGCGTCCCGAGACACCCTGTGCGAGTTTGTCAAACATGAGACGATCCTCGTAGCTCATTTTTTCAATCTTCTTCTTGCGGTTCTTGGACCACCACAAGAGTGTTTCTTCCAGATCCTTTCCAGTTTGCTTGGTGGGTTTGGCCAATTCTCTGTCACGCCACACCAGGAATGCTTTCTCGCACTTCTTTGCCATTTTCTTCTCGTCTCCTTCAAACGCCTTAATATCAATTTCCTTTTTCATGTTGGACTTCCAGAAATCCAAGTAGTCGTCAGCTTTGCTTTGTTTGATGACTTCAAAGAACTCAATCAACTTCTGCTTGGTTTCGGTTTTTCCTTCCAATTCTTTGAGTTTTTTGCGGTGCGCGGGGTAGTTCTCGATGCACCATCCCATGGCTTCCTGCAGTGCCTTGGCCTTGTCTTTGAGGGCGATACTGGCGTCACCCCAACCGTCCAAGACCTGCTTGACTTGCATCGTCTTCTTTCCCATTTCATCGGGACCACCGGGATGGCCTTGACCCCACCAAGTCAAAATCTCCTGCATCTCTTGGGCACTCTTCATACCAACCTCGGGATTTTCAGTCACATCCTCGTCGGGATGGAACGCCCGGGCCCACCACCCAATGGTGTCCGTCATTTGCTTGTTGCGGGCATCGCCCCCTCCGAACGACGACATGGTGCTGCTCTTCTTGTTCCTTCGATAGAAACTGCTGTACGACTTGGAACCAAGCAATGAGTTCAAGTTTGTGTGGGATCTTCTTTCTTCTTTCTCGAAGCCTCGAATGTGGGATGGTTGACGCTACGCTGGATCTTGAAAAAAGAGGACCCAATTTTGTCAGTTTGCCGAAAATGACTTCAGAATGACTTCCGCACAACATTAGCTCTAACCCTAGTAAGTAAAAGAAAGAGAATTGTCTGTTGAAAAGGTGTGAACTTGAACGCACAATTTCTCTAATTTAATCAATATCCTTCCAGCTCTACTGTCTAGTAGACTGGCTATTTGTTTCGTTTTCTCTTTCTCTCTCGTTCAGATTGTGAGCTCTGCAACTGAGCTCCGATATGCATACATATACCAGGATCTTTCGATCCTCTGTTTCTCGCAGTTTCATCTGCAGATAGATCTCGTCGATCTATCTTCCTGAAGTGCATGGTTGGCCCTGGAGGGCTTTCCCACTTTACTAAACCTATGGACCTTCATCCGTCCTTCATTTGTTCCATCCCGTCGCTCTTGCATTCATCTCTTCGACCTAACTTCCCAACCTTTGTAGTTGCATCAACTAGACGACCATTGTCCTCTTCCTTGTACACCTGGCCATCTTATGATGATCGGATAACCATCTGATTTGAGTACACAACTCCCATCACGAACCGTGATTGTGGATCCCGAGTCGTCTGTCCGTCATACGAAAATACCTTCTAACACCCTTCCTGTTTTCGCGATGATGCAGCGACCTTCTTACCAACTCAAACAATTGCTCCTTGTCTCCATGTCAGATCTTGGTGCATGTCTGTCGAGAGGTCTCGACGTTGAAATTCTTGGTTCCAATGTCGCTCACGTTGTCTTCCGAGCGAACGAAATCAATCTTCACTAGGCCCGTCCTGCTGCATTTGGTTCACGTAGTGCCACCTCGTATCCATATCGCCTTGTTCGACTTGCACTTGTCTTGTTTCTGACATAAAGATAGCACCTACGTTAATCGATCTTCACTTGCACAGTAGTTCCACGTTGATCTGTAGGAACTTCAGAATCTGCGCGATGAACGGGACTTCTCGCACTGCTTCGCCACCGCGTAGAACTCAGCTTCGAACTCGACAATGCTACACTTCTGTAGTTGGACCTCCAGTGAATGAGTACACTTCGAGAAAGATCATCATGGACGTGACTATCTTCTGTTGTTCTTGTCTCCGAGCCCAATCCGAACCGAGAATACTTCCAATTTCCACGGTCCTTTGTTCTTCTCTGGTCTCATTCAAAGTCCACGGTTCCTTTGAGTCCAACACGTATTTACACAGCGTAGACATTTCCTTGTATCGCTGCGGCGTTGCAGCATCCAAGACCTTAGCTAGCTCTCGTACCGCAGTTCGAGATATTCTGGCCTTGAATGCTTGATAATGGTACATGAGCATCCTACTCCTGTTCGATATCTGCTCTGTTGTTCTTCAGCGATCCAATTCTACTCTGTTCGTCTGCCTTACAATTCCGAGTACCAGGTGTTCCGCGTCTTGTACTTGGGTACTTCTGTACTCCTCTCCGAATGTGGTTTGAATATTCTTGATCATGTGGGTTGTCCCACCCATTCACATCCTTTCGGGGATTCATCAATCTCACAGCTCAGGTAGTCCGTGAGTCGTACTCTATGGTCATGTTCAAGCCTCGATCTTTAATCCCTTGAAGCACTTCCTTGTATATCGTCTTCTTCTCACAATGGTGAGATTGTCATCACGTAACATAGAATCACTCATATCTTCCCATTCTTGACCGCATGAAGAGGCATGGATCACTAGGACACGTAACGAATCCTAATCTTCCGGACACTCGCAAACTTCAAGTAGATACTGTCGTGCGCCTGGCAAGCGCCGTAGATGGTCTTGTCCAGCATTCGTCATCTTGGTGTTCTAGTCCTTTTGGGCAGTCCATGTAGATGACTACGTCCATGTCTCCATGTAGGAATGCTGTCTCAATATCGAAGATAATTGCCTTCGCTCTTCCCATCTTCTTTAGTAGTAGAATCAAGATGATGCGGAAGGTGATGTCGTTAGCCACCGGACTGTAGATGTTGTCAAAATCAATTCCGGGTACCTGACTGTAGCCGCAGGCCACCAATCTAGCTCTGAATCTTCCATTCCGCTTGATTTCCAGCACCCACTTGTGTTTGACACATCGTCTCCCTTCCTCCATTCTTGATCTCTTGATCTTGCGCCAGACCTTGAGTTTCTCCATCTTGTCTAGCTCGCCTTTGATCGCTTCCCTCCACTTCTCTCGCTGAAATGGTTCCGGGTGGTCCCAAGCTTCCTCGAACGTGCTTGGTTTGGTGAACAGATACTTGTACTTTGCTGGATCCTGAGTCCTTGGGTCATATGCGAGAGTCTCTTGATCAATGGATGCCTGTCCTAGTCCTCCCGTCAAATCTACTTCTGATGCCGTGTACCCAAACTCCATCCAGTCTTCATGTGCGTTCCCAAAACGTTCTATCATTGGAATCGTCGAAAAGTTTGCCATTTCTGTCATTGGCGGTGATTCCGGTTGTTCGTGCTGAGCTGTTATCTTCTCTCCTCCTTCGGATGCATCGTCCGAAAGTGCTTGCATGAGGGAGCCCCCGTCATGAGGTTGTACCGCCGCTAGCTTGTCCAGTGTCTGTAGGGCCTGGGGGTTGTTGTTGGAGGTTGTATTACAGACACCTCAATACAAATTAGTCGTTTATCCCAATCTAGTTATAGGGGATATCTATATCTATTCTCTAGTTACATACATGGGGAGTTTAACTGATCTATACGGTCACCCCCTTCACTATATCCTTTGAAGTTGAATCAATCCCAGAAATACATGGAGAAAGATCACTTCTTGGAAATAGCTTAACAGTAAAACCCTTTTACCTTTACTAAGCTAGAGTGTTACTAGCAACCAACACTATTTCCAAGAAGGTCTACCTTCATCTCGAGAAGCTCTACCTTCATCTCGAATTCGAGATCTCGACCATGGTATCGACATCAACCAGTTCATGCTAAGGTAACCAGTGCAACAAACGGTTCGGAGTCAGGCAGAAAGGGCTCTAGTCTCATGCAGAGAGCTATCCCAACAGCCTAGCAGGAAAACAAACCATTCCGAAATCGTGCCTCACACTGAACGAGCACCGGAGGAACGACCAAACGTCTTCCAATCAAAACTGGAACACATTAAGCATACCACACGAAAGAGCATTGAAAGCTAAACCATTTGCATGCTTGAATCGTACTCACACAACAGAAACTGAGTGAGCTACTATCTATTAAAGATCTGATACAAGCAAGTACGGAGCCGGGAGTGAGCTCCGGAGCCAGCAAACAAGCTCACAGGAGTGAGCGACAAGAACCAAAGCTACTGCACGAAGCCGGTCAAAGCGTGACTCGGCAACAAGGACAAACAAGCTCACAGGAGTGAGCGAACGGAGCACAAGCAACCAAGCTCACAGGAGTGAGCGAAGCACCAAGACTTTGAGCTGCGAAAACAGCCATCGTATGCAACGTTGCTACGAAAAACAACTACAAGAGGACTCAGCACGACAAAGTGCAGGAGGTGTGGCAGCCAAGCTATCTATAGCTAGCTACCACGACGAGTCCAACAAGAGCGAGGCTCCCGGTGAGTCTGAACCAAGGCTAGCTACTGTACGAGGCGAAGAGCTACCGTACTGTACGAAGCCAAGGCTACTACGGCGACGAACCGTGCAAGCCAAAACAGGAGCGACACAGAGAAGTGTTGCCACGGAAGAGGAACTAGATAACAAGTTCCAACAAGAAGAATAATTACCACAGAGGTACTTCCGTGGGAGTGCTCCTATCCTCAACAAGAGAGCCATCAAAAGAGGCTACTAGAAGAGAGGTGCGAAGATTTTCACGTCGCACAAACAAGCCGTATTACCAGGCCGATTACTCGGCAACGATTGGTCCTACGGAAGGACTGCCATACACGGAAGTGGGCTACTATACTGTCACTGACAGGCCCTGAAGAGTGCAAGCACTCGAAGAGCCGAGGGAAGAATATTCATCCTTCGGCGCATTCAAGGAAAATTGAAAGAAAACCCGAAGCAGCAGCCAGCCAGTCAACGATCGAATCAAGGCCCAAAGCTACTGCTACAGGAATAAGAAGAAAGGCAACGACTACTACTACTAGCCGGTCGCTGCCACTACGTCGAACGAACAGCCAAGAGCAGAAGCAACAGGCAACTGTGGAACGAGCTGTATCCATCGGCAACAGGCTGGATAAGAGCGAATTTACAAAATTTTGCTAAATCCACCAGCCAAGATGCAATACACGGCTCTTAGCCTTATTCGCGACTCGATCCTAGATAGGGTTTGAGTTCGACTCATGACTGAGTCTCGTGAATAGTCATTTGGACAGGGTTCTCAATGACCGCTGCTAGTCATACTAGGTAGATATGTGATTGAAACTATACGCTTTAGATATTTAGCCAGCGTGAGATACTTCCACGCTGATAGATCAGGCCTAAGCAAACCTTCCACGCGTTCCCGTTTCGGGATCGTGGAGCGCGTAGGATTACTACCCCACCTCACTCTATCACACTTTTAGTCTCCCGCGGGACCAGATCTCGGTTCCTTTGATGCATGTCTCTCTCGTTTGATTATTTTATAGCTTCTCCTAATACCTCTATATCTTTTCATTCCTCAAAACAAAAACACTCGAACGATCTTCCACTCAGCTTTTAGCACAGTGCATTTTGTCGGTGTCGCTACTTTCATAGAATACGCATGCGCTATTCCATTGACATGGTAGTGATATCGAACTTGAATCCTAGTTCAGAGAGAATGTCTCGCACTATGATCATGTCATACTCACCCAAGCTCTTGGTGAAGTGTAGGTCCCACTCGATAAATTCTATCTTCGTGGAAATTCAGGAATCATGAATGCAACCTTGCACTTCGTGCTGGTGTTTTAATCTCCTCGCAGGCGCCGTAGTCCACATCGTTTGGACGCCCCAAGATCCTTCTGGCGTAATTTCTTAGCATGAGTTAGAGCAATCAAGGTTCAGGATGCTCCTGTATGCAGCAAGCAACGGAGTGTAACGGTTTTTGGTTTCCCTTTTCTCGCTTGTTAAATTCTAAACATACACGATAGTTTTGAGGTTCCTTGTCTTGCGACGTTTACG